CATATATAAATTCTTTAAATCGGAAGATACCCCTTTCTCGAACATAAAATTTTGACAAGGCCTAATATTCTACCAAACGAGTACAGGGAGAAATCGGTTTCTGCGTATTTTCTGCAAAATTTGTTTTAATTTTCAACGTTGATGCAAACCAATGAGAAAAATGTTTACTTCTCCAGTTGCTATTTTTTACAGAATATACTTTTGCAGGTATCCGGAAAGAGACTCGTTCTAAAACCGAAATCCTGAGGTGACTGAAATATCTTGAGATTATGCTGTACGCTTATCAGTATTACGACCCCTCTTGGGTGCTTTGTTCGAATCGAAAACAAATTTGAGAATTCGAAGAAAATACGTTCTTTGAAAAAAAAGTAAATGTAGTTAGTGGATTGTAAAGTCTGGTTCCCCAGATCGTCTTCAGACTAGCAAAAATGTTTAACGAACAACTAAAATTTCAAACGTGCGGTAGAAATCAATAGAAATATGGTGTGAGTGCTGATTGGTAGTGGTGGCTTCTATCAGTCTGTACTGTGCGGCCCTTGTATCTTCTATCTAACTCTGTGTCGGCTGATACATGAATCATCGGAGTGCATGGCCTAAAGAAATTATCGGCCTTTATTGGAAGAGCAGTCTCCGACGATGCGTGTTTTGTTCCATGCAAAACTGTGTCCTGTATCAAGGCTATGCACATTCACTTCGGATAAACGATCACATCTTTCCACTGCTAGTTGGTCCTCGGGAATGCGTGGGGAGACCGACCTTCCTGTTTGGGCGCAGTCTTCGATATCACAAGCTTCGTATGAGTTCTTGTTAACGTCCTCTTTCTCATGGACTTCATGAGATATGGAATCTAATGTAAATATATGGGTGCGTAACTACCACTGTAAATATATCAAAATGCCCAGACTTCTTATTGTCAACATATCCTTTGCCCTTGTCCCGCAAGCAGTGTTGAACGAAAGAATCGGATTCTGCCTTCTGGACTACTAAACAATTTCAGAAAAGAAAGCATTTCTAACGTTATTACATCGAGTTCGCACCGTAAGTTGTAAGGACATTTTTAAATTAAATTTGCAAACCAGAGTACAAATCTGACACGAGATGGGGCACTGCCGAGACGAAATCTTCGCCGTTATGTCATGGTAACATTATTTCTGGCGTTCCGAAACTCCACAAGTAAGCAGCCAGAAACAACATGTTAGTGCATTTCTTTCGTAACTTTTGTTCGTTTCTATGACCCAACTGCAAAGTTATCGATGGCCTCGGTGGGGTTCAAACCAATGAGAGCAAATGCAATGTAATGGACAGTTCTATCTAACAAAGCTACGAGGCTCCAGTTAGAAGGCATGAACTTAACCACGTTTGGGTCAACTTACGTGCGAAACCTACCGCAGCTTATGAACTGCATCATTTCTGATACAGTTAGATGACTGCTCAAAATGTGTTTATCAAGCAATCAACGTAGAGCCAATAAAATGACAACCAGGATTGCTTCATAAACATTTTTTTGCTAGGTTGAAATTGATAAGTCGCATAAAATATCAAAGAATGAAACAGAAAAAAACCAGGAAAACTGAGGTGTGCATTTCTGGCAGTTATGCCATTGTGAAGCAACTTTATTGAGACTTGCACATGGCACGTATAGAAATATTACACTCTGTTCTGAATTATGCTTGGATCGTTAAAGCCTGTCCTGTTTGGAGGATACCATAACATAGAAAATCCTTAAGCCCACGCTCAAAATAAAATCGAGAATTTTTAAACAAAAAAAACAATTTACAAAGTCACAGGATTCATAAGTCCATTTGGAAACAGGTCATTTTCTTTTGGGGACTGAATGGAAGAAACTCTCTTAACTCTAGAGACCTATAACGGATACTATGGTGTTTGTCAATTTCTCTCGAGCAGTATCCCATTCACTGGAAATCACACATTATCTGAGGTATTGGAGGCATTACAGAGTAAACAGTCATAATTTTTAAATGAAAATCAAATTCAGGTTAAGTAAGACACCAAACGTCCCCAAATAAAGCGCAGAAAGGAGTTGCATAAAATAAGAAATGGTGAATTGGGAGGTGGATTTCTAGCCTAGATAGAAAGTCGAATGGAATGCGGTTGAGTGAAATCGGTTGGTTTTTTAACTATCCTTTTACATTTCCTTCACCTAGCAGAAACTAAAAACCCTCCCAAAGGAACCATTTACTATCAAACCAAAAACAGAAGCTTAGAGTGCGCCTCTGAAAACTTCCACAGTGACTCATTTCAGGCCTAAAATCATCAGAGCAACCTAATATTCCTGCCTCTTAAAGCGATTTACCAATATTTAGTGCATGCTGAGTCACTTAAAGCACGATTTTATAGATACAACTAAACCGAGGGAAAAGGGCACAAGAAGCCATCATCTAAAATCCACTTTGCGCGCATCGGGAACCCAAAAATGTCCGGACTTCTATTAATCAAAACGAAACACATCACTAAAGTTGATTCCTGCACTCCCGTAAATAAGTGAACGCTGCTTTGTGGTTCACGGCTGCGAAATTTCTTTCCTGAATAAACAACAATATACTGACCGTATTTTGAAAGACAACGTAAGTACTTCTCAGCGTACGAGTTATGCCGAAATCTTCTTGTTTAAGTATTTGGCTACCTGCGGGACAGTGGCCGGAAAACTATTCCCAGCCACTTCACCAGTTGCCTTAGACTTAGTTAATGTAGCCGAAAGATATTCATTGATATGGATAAGGTAGAAGGATTGAAGAGCACCGGATAAATTTGTTTACTGTCCTGAGTTTCAAACTCTTATAGGAGTCCATCGTCAGAGATAAGAGGGAGTAATTATAACGGATGTACACCAATCAGCCGTCAGGAGTCATCGGGTCGTAGGGAGGCAATACAAAACGATGAAAAAAGGGGGCGAGGGGAGGCAACTGTCGGAATGTACGTTAATCGATTGTCAGTGATTTCAACGTTCAATAGGGCGTCAGAAAACAAAAGGGGCTACTTATAGATAGTTACTTATAAAAACTCGATATACTGTTTCGAAAATTAAAGATTACTAGAACTTAGCATTGCCTGAATAAAAATGTCAGCTTGATCGTCGTGTACGGCATCATGGAATATGTGCCGAACTCCAC